GAATTGAAACTATCTTGAACATTCAGTAGTTCACACCAAGTGTGGAAGTGTGTTCGCATTGAACTCCGATGTGCAACTCAGTACATCTCAATATGCCTCTTTTATCCTGACCGCATTGTGTATTAGCAATTACATTGCCTTTTGTATACATGTGTCTTTATAATAGTTGTGACCTCAGCCCCCAGAGAATTCTTTGTCTATAGAAGAAGGTGCCTTCTCATTTTGTTTTGATCACGTGACCTCTTTCCAGTACTTGGCAGTGGCTTAAATTGTAAATCTTGAATATGGTTATATCTAATGGCAGGCTTTTTATGATGGTTATCATTAGCCCTTTAGCTGGCTTCGGGCTTCACGGAGAAGGAGCAACAAAGTGAGTGGGAGGGAATAGAAGAGTGATTCAGGGATGTAAATGGGACAGACACAAAGGTAAGGTAAGGTGAGTATAGTGTCATACAGTCGGGTCATGATTGTAGACAACTGTCTATTGATAGACTTGTTTGGCGTATGAGTATAGAGTGTGCACCACGTGGAGGTAAATCTATCTAACACCCCGTAAATCGTGAATATAAATATTATTTTTTTCCCCCAATCGGATTGCCTGTGGTCTAGTAGATGGAATCGAACCCCTCATGTCATCGGTTTTACTTACCTCTAAGAGGTAAATCTTAAGGAGGTTTGGCTCAAAAACAAAATTCATTCTACACAGTACTGATTTTATATGCTGAATTGCCTAGAACTCTGGAGTTTAAACTCTGCGATTATCTCCTATAAAATCTTTGACGATGCATAATTGAACTTGCACCGCTGCCAAATTGGCGCATTTTAGCAGCCAAGTTAATATAAATTAGTAACCTTAAAAGCTGGAATGGATAAACATCTAAGTACACTCTATGCCGCTAAATCGCCAACTCAAATCCACCAAAATTTTAACAAAATTAAATGCGATTAATTAGCTAATACAGAAAGAGGCTGTTTTGGCGTCTGTTCATGTGGTCTTAGCAGACAGCTCACAAACAAGGGAATTTCTAAGGCATGCTCTGTGTCCCGAATTTAAGCAAAAAACGTGTCTCCATTCACAAAATCAACGCGAATACAGCAAATGGCATCTCAATAATCACCCTAAAAAAATCTACGATAGTCAAAGTATTTATATCAAATGGCAGGCGTTGTGAGAGTTATCATTAGCCCTTTAGTTGATTTCAGGCTTCACAGAGGGGAGGAGGAACATCAAAGTAAAAAAATTGAGAGGGGGGGGGGGATAGAAGAGTGTATCAAAGATGTATAAGATACAGACACAAAGGCAGAAAAAAGGTGAGGTGAGTACTGTGGAAGTGGTCGAATATGGCATACACTGAGGTGATGGTAGTTTGAAGTGAGAAGTCAACTGCCGGTTAATAGACCTTTTTGCCGTATGAGTATACATTGCCCAGAGTGCACCACGTGGAGAGGTAAGTCTATCGCACACCCCACGATAGTCAAAGTAATTCCGGTTCGTGAGAATTTCTATTACGATGCTGTTCCTTATTGGAACGAGATATTGGGAGGAAGAAAGATCCCTAACTTCGCTGAGAGAATACAGAAATTTTGTTTGCATCATTTTTGCAAGAGCTTCCTGTTTCTGTTCGAGAGGCGTTTTTAGTATGCGTTGTTCAGTTATTTTAATGTCGATTTTATTTCACTTTGGACCACCCATTATTTTATGATGGAATAAATTACTTCTATTTTTTTGGAAACATTAAATTGAACTTCCATATATTTATTCAATTCTAGTTACGTTAAATTTTGCATAAAATTGACTTTTAAGACTTCTTCTGAACTCGGATTAAACCGGACTTTCCACGGTAAATATCACTTTGTCAATGTGCATATGTTTTTCGGAGGCTTGAATCAATCGACTGCTCGTGATAAGGAACTATGAATAATCAGAGATTGTTAGTTTTGGCAAAAAAAGGTTTTAAGTGAACATTTTCTGTTTTGTCTTTATTACTTTTGAAGGCCACTATATTTGCTCTTGTTTATTCGCTAGATGTGGCGAATTTGAGGACGACCAGCCGTATCTGCTCAATCGAAGGTACTCTTTAGAATGCATTCCTTCTTACTTAAAATAGCGCTATAAAACATCCAGAGCATTCGTAGATTACATGGTTCCTAGTGCCTGGCTATATTCTGCAGCCTACAAATTAACGTGTTTTTATGCGTATTGTAGATGTCTCAGCAGGCCTGGTTGAATCATCGAGTGAAACAGATGGCCATCGTCCGAGGCCTTTTACCTCCTTCTGAAATCCCCGATTCGGACTCGGAATGCAACATTGACAGTAATGAGAAGTCGGAAGATGGTGAGACCAAAGTCTCCCCAGTATTATCCTCCCGCAAATGTCCTCGTCGTCGTCGTAGATTTGGTTTCAAGCTACTTTCCCGTCCCTGTTGGCCGGCGGCTTGTTACACTAAGAAGGGCCTCACTTACACTGCTTTCGCATTACCCATTGTCGCCTTCCTCCTAATTGGAGCTCTCCTACAGTTGGATTTTTCCACTCTCATGCCGCCACTTCTCCTCCATGCGCTTCCTTGGTGGACGGTGTATGCGGTGAAGGTGGTGGTGATACTCGTTGTCTTAAATCGATTCAAGAGTAATATTATCAGGCTACAAACTAATGAATATACGGTGAGTTGTGTGGTTAGATGTATACTCGGTTGTTGTTGTTGTTGTTGTCTGCTTTCATTTCATTATTATCATTATTATTATTATATCAAATGGCAGGCGTCTTGATGGTTATCATTAATCCTTTAGTTGACTTCAGGCCTCACAGAGGGGAAGGTACATCAAGGTGAAAAAAGTCGAGAGGGGGGGAAGAGGGGAAGGAACATCAAAGTGGAAAAAAGTCGAGAGAGGGGTAAACAGAAGAGTGCTTCAAAGACGGGTAGAAAAAAGGTGAGGTGAGTACTGTGGAAGTAGTCGATTGTAGAGCAAAGGTGAGGTGAGTACTGTGGAAGGGGTCGAATTTGACATACAGTGGGGTGATGGTAGTTTGAAGTGAGAAGTCGAAGAGAAAAGGTAAGATGAGTACTGTTGAAGTGGTCGAATTTACGAATATGGCATAGAGTGGGATGATGGTAGTTTGAAGTCAAGTAGTCGAATTTGACATACAGTGGGGTGATTGTAGTTTGAAGTCATGTCAAATGCCGGTTAATAGACTTTTTTGCCGTATGAGAATGTAGGACATATAGGGGGGTCATGGTAGTTTGAAGTGAGAAGAAAACTGCCGGTTAATAGACTTTTTTGCCGTATGCGGAGAAGTCAACTACCAGTTAATAGACTTTGCCGTATGAATATACGTTGCCCAGGGTGCACCACGTGGAGGTAAGTCTATTGCCAGGGTGCACCACGTGGAGGTAAGTCTATCACACACCCCGCTTTCATTTCATTTAAGACCTTTAAAGATCTGTTAATGGTTTTCCTGTTAAAAAGTGCTTGCAAAAAAGCTTCATTTTGCACTTTGAATAACCCCGACTTAAAAAAACAGTTATGGGAAATCGATTTTCTAAATTTAAATAATAATAAAGCATTGAAATGGTTGTGTAAGCAAAGGGAATAAAATAAGCCTATGAGTCACCGATCACGTTACTTAATTCGGCACTAATGCATTTATCTGCGTTACACCAATTTGATGTTTTCCATCAATGCCTGCGTAAACCACCACCACGCCTCAACTGTGAATTCAAACTGATAGGAATTGGAATGAATCACTTCCGGGTGTGTGGGCTATAGTGCATGCATGAATGCGGAGTTTAGATGAATCCTTTATGCGGAACCTAGACAAACCGATTGTGGTGGCCGAGCAATGTGAATGTTTATTTTATTTATTTATACCCAATGGCAGGCATTTTGATAGTTATCAGTAGAAAAAGGTGATGTGAGTACTGTGAAAATAGTCAAATATGGCATAGAGTGAGGTGATGGTAGTTTGAGGTGAGAAGTCAACTGCCAGTTAATAGACCTTTTTGCCGTATGAATATACGTCGCCCAGGTGGAGGTAAGTCTATCGCTCACCCCATAATGCGAGTGTTATAGACTTAGAACATGCACATTCGTTTGTCATTTTCCAAGTTTAACTTTACTTATCGCATTCGAGGGATGTTTAATTAGTTGAAAGGCCGGTATGGGCTTTTCGATTTGGTTAATGCTCATTCTATTTTATTTTAGATTTCCATTTTATTACTTTCAACTTTTCTTCTTTTTTGTGCTTTAAACTGACCTTGTGATTATACGTCACTAAGACCCAGGTAGTTTGCACCATTCAGTATGTGTGCACTGACTGGTGCGGGTTCACCTTGACTCATCCTCATTCGGACCCGTTAAAATTTTGTTTGTTGTAAATTTTAATGAAATTACACCCCTTCTCCCCCCACCGCCCCCCCCCCTCCCCCACTTTTGAGCTGGTTAAAGTAAAGCTGAAGCATTCTTAAAGTGTGGTTTATTTATCACCCTTTTTTTGATTGGGCTTTAAAACATTTGGTTTCTATTGAAAGACTTATTCTCATTAATTAGAATTTCCCATTTTTTTGTTGTTATCAAAGGATGAATTGTTGCTTGCGCCAGTTATTTGACACTTGAAATGGAAAATTAATTTTGCTGTTCACTGACGAGAATTATTAGAAAGCCGTAGGTCAAACATGTGTGTTCCCTCAATGATTTCGACTTAATCGTTTGACTAATTTTCTTACAACTGACAATAACTTTAACCTCATTCCTATTAGTAGGTCCTTCTCTCTGCCAGCATCCGCTTTGAGCCATTTTTGGGGTTAATATACCCGTCTTCTCCTCCCCCACTGAGCCTCCTAGGTGGGTGGATTTTGCCTGATTCACTCTGACGCCGTCAAATTCAAGCGTTAAAAGTCCTCTTCTCTTGTGATTTTATGTCCCGGTCATCATGTGTACTTAATCGGACTTGTGATTTCTAGTCAAATATTGATCAAGTGTGGGTGGGGGGTGGGGGGCTAGAGGTGTGCGAGTTTGTCCTACCTTTCTCTTCGATTTAAATGTGCAATAACCATCTGAAAGCTCAAATTGTACTTATTTTGATCTTAAATATATAGCACGAAATTTTAATGTCCCTTTTAGTTCCTAATGGTGTTCAGTCTGGGTCTGGTGACAACAGCAAGTCTGACACTCACTGGGCTCTTTCTTCTCATTCCAGACGTGGGTGCTCCGCACATCCTCGTCCATTTCTCATTTTTTGCTGCTGTTTCCTGTCTCTGGTTCTCTCTCTACCGCACAGCCACTATGGATCCAGGATTTGTCGATTCTTCTGCAGCCACTATCGTTCCCGTCTCAAATTCCTGCGTTTCTGAGGCAGCTGTTGCGTCCGCAGTTGTCGACGTCGTCGATGCTGAGGTACGGCAGATCCTTGTCCATTCCGACACCACTTCAGGTGGTGGCCCACCACCTTCACGACGATCTGTTCTCCTGAAACGATTTTGCACAACATGCTTGGTGCGAAAACCCCTCAGATCGAAGCATTGTCGAGCTTGCAATCGGTGTGTTTCGCGGTTTGATCATCACTGTCCCTGGGTTGGAAATTGCGTTGGACAGAATAATCACCATTGGTTCCTATATTATCTCTTATTCACTTCTCTTTCTTTGATTCTCTTCATGCTGGAGTCTATACTCTACTGGCGTATTACTCCGCTCTGCTACAACCTAATTGGACTCAACACACCTTTCACTTGGAAATGGTACTTGGAGACTGCTCTTGCGGTTGCGTGGTGTCATCCCTGGTTGGTTTATTGCTTTGTGAATGCAGCTTTTTATACTCTCTGGACAGTGCTGCTATTCGGAGCCCACTTCCATCAAATGGTGTGGGGTGGTGTAACCACCAATGAACGGATCAATGTCGATCGATATGTTGAGTTTTCAGGAGGTCTAGTGTGGGCGAAGGATGGCTACACTAGGGGACTGTGTTGTGGACCTTCGGGGTGTCTTTGTGGTCTTCCTCAGTGTCCCTATAATCGTGGAGTGATTGGTAACCTCTCAGACCTATGTCGAATTAGTCTTGGAGCTCACAGACCTGTTGAGTGGCGCCACTTTTACGAACTGCAAGATTTTGTTTCCAATGAAACAAAGAAGAATGGACAAGAATTTATGCCCTAATTTCAATGATGAGGATTAACTTTATTTATGCAAAGATGATGGTGCTGACGTGATTTTCTGACCAAACCCCCCTCCTCCCCCCCCCCCCCCCCCCCCCACTTCCCTCCCTTCTCTTCTTTTCCCTCTCTCTCTCTCTCCTTCTTTCTCACTATCTGATGTTGTATGAGTGATGCAAGTCACTTTCAATAAGAAAATAGATATACTTCCCGTTTTACGTGAAATCTCAACTTTTTTGCTGGATTGCATGCTAGCTGTTTCTTTTTTTGATCAATCATTAATTCGAATGCATTCGACGTTGAGTAGAGTACTTGTAAGCCATCTCCTTCTATGTTCTAATCCACTGCCATATTTTGATACAAGTGTGGTAGAGATTTTGTGTCAAGAATAGTCACTGGCGTAGTTGTCAAGGCACAACTCTATCCAATTAGTTTCAAGAGATCGGCAAGGATGACTGACTACAAGAGTAGGGTTCCCTTTCCTGTTCACAATTTTTTGATAGTCGTGTAAAAAAATGCTAGCCCAGTGGTCCGGTGTTATTGATTGTCATCTCTGAATGACCAATTGGCCCAGGCTGAATGGCTTAGAACATTTTTCTTTGGTAGAAAGTGTATGTTTTGAGGTCTTTGCGACAAGGAGTTTGTACTTTATTCTTCGATTGATCATCATTAACCTGATTATCACTTCTATCACTATAGACGCATTAATAGATTTCACTATTGTTATGTCACCTTTCCTGGTTTATATCCCCCCCCCACTAATTTTGAGTAGCCTTTTTAGCACTTATCTTGAGTAAAGAGTGTTTACTCTGACCTCTCTTGGTCAGGATTATACCAGTATAGTTGTTCATTCATTACGTGAATCTTGATACACGAGTGAAATTTCTTTTCAAGAGATCTTATCAGTCTTTACTGTTCTCCCGCTTCTGCAAACTCTAAGTCAGATTGAGAAAAGTTCTCTAATAATTTATTGATTATTGCTTTGACACAGAGTGTATCTATTGATTGGTCAAGCAGGAGATAGTGAGTGCTTTTAGAGTGCCAATCGTTTTTTCGCATTGCATTGACTTTTCTATTTTTATTTGTGTGTATGTGTGTGTGGCAGATCACTAATGTCAAATCGGACAGAAAAGCGCGATTACAGTTGGATCAGCGGCTATGAGAAAACCTGGTAAGCTCCGAAGTGATTGACATTTATTTGCCATTTTATTAAACTCTTTTTCAATAAAATACGAAAGTCAACTTTCAACACAGTTGGATACATTCCCTATGATTCGCCTCACTTTGTATTGGGGATGCTCTCTCTGTGCCATGGTTGTGTGTGTGTCTTTTGATTTTCTGATTAATTTGTCCATATTCAGTGGTGATTATAGCCTGAAATATCTGATATTTTACTACTTCTGAATTTATCTCTCTCTCTCTAGCTTTCAAAGGTAGCGAACTGACTCAACATTGGAGAGAGAGCAGGTTGTATTGCGCTTAATTTCGATTGCGATTTCTATTCACAGAAACTTGATGTAATAATTTCATTTTGACGCATTCAAATCCACTTCTTAAGAAAAGGAAGTGCGAGATTGCCATTGAATTGTAAATTAGGCCCCACTTTTCTGATATTCATCGTTTGGTTTAGGGCATCGTCTGGGCTCTAAGTATTTACTACTCATGCTCAAGATTTTTTATCATCTGGACGGAAATAACGAAGGTTCAGGAATGAATCAGGTTAAATGCGATTCACAAAGCTAATCCCCTACTAAATGGTCTCTAAAGTCTGTAGATATATCGAGGTCTTACTTCCAATACTGTTATTGGTAGTGTTTATTTGTTTCCTTTTAGGTCATCCATCCAAGAAGACAGCTCTGGCAGTCTCGTGTCGAGCATGGACAAGCTGGCTCGTGACAGTCATGCTGATTTGCGAGCAAGACGTCAGAAAGCGCTGAATTTGGCAGCCAACAACACCAGCGGAACTCCGCGTCTTGGAATGGTTCGCCTATGGACTTCTAGTAATTCTCTTTCTTAGGTCCGTCACTTGTATCTCGTTATTGATCTCTCGTCGGCAATGCTGGAACGTGATTTGCACCCTACTCGCATCATTTGTACAATTAGAGTAAGTTTGGAGCAATGAATTTGTCATTCTTTATTGTGGTTACGCTCATAAAACGGTATTTAAATACGAGTGATGATGTTCATTATGCTTTTAAAGATGATTAGTTGTATTTAATACTGGATAGCTAATTATAGCCCGATGTAGCCAATCATATGTCATACAACCAATCACTTGCTTCCTAATGGTTTATGCACCGTGTCATTTTTTAGTGTCTCAAAAAGTTTGTGGGCAACTTTTTCGATCAGAATCCCCTGAGTCAGTTGGGTATTATTACTACTTCTGGTTCAAAGGCCAAAGTTGTTTCAGCATTATCAGGTTGGTGATATCTTATTTTCTTTGCTACTTATTTGTTTGTCAGTAGTATATTACCTTTCTGTATTTTAGGTGGCTTGGTCAGGCACATGAAAGCTCTTACAGAATTGGAAAAAAATCCACATTGCGAAGGAGAGCCCAGCATTCAGAACGCTCTTCTGATTGCTGAATCTCGGCTCAAGTAAGTTCAATTAAGTTCTTAAATTGATATTTCGATTCACTATATATATTGATTGTCTCACTTCATGCTACTAATGTTAAGAGCAAGAAATTATTTATTTCGTTAGATTTGTGGAATCGGGTTGTAAAGAATCAACTTCACTTCTTTAGATCTCATTTCGTTCCGTCTCCTCACCTTTTTAATCAAATTTCACTCATTGTGAGCTCTTTTCATTCAAAAGCAATCCAAGTTCCTTTTGATTCGTCCTGTTCTTTTTCCCTTGAATAAAAAAATATGATTTTGAAGCAACAAGATCTAAGTATCGTCATAAGACAACCGACCAATGAATGCTGGAGATTTCGGCACCGTAATTCATCCGTTTCCATGGTAACTGAACATTATTCATTTCAAATGGCAGGCGTTTTGACGGTTATCATTAGCCCTTTAACTGACTTCGGGCTTAATAGAGGGGAGGAATATCAAAGTGAGAAAAAGTTGAGAGGGTGAATAGAAGAATGAATCACAGATGTATAAGAGACAGACAGGCACAAAGTTAGAGAGAAAAAGATAAGATGAGTACTGCGGAAGGGGTCGAATATGACATACAGTGGGGTTTTGGTAGTTTGAAGTGAGAAGTCAGCTGTCAGTTAATAGACTTTTTTGCCATATGAGTATACGTTGCCCAGTGTGCACAACGAGGAGATAAGTCTATCACACACCCCTGGTAACTGAACATGGATGTTACTATTATCAAGGAGTAGATGAATATCGGCCTTACTGGTCTCTTAGATTACGGTACCTAACTAAATTTAAACATTTGCTTTATTTAAACTATCACGCATTCCGACTTTACTAGTTGCCATTTCATCTTTGCTATATTGCATTTCTTAAGCAGTTGAAAGTGGAAGGCAAAGTTGAAGATATTAGTACTTTATATGAATAGTTTCCTCTGAGAAATCTTCCAATGCATAGGGTTATTCTTTACTTCGGGTAAACGATCTTATGTTCACATCTTCTTTTCTCAATACGAAATTGAAATAAATGGGTAATTTGACTGCTTCTTTATCGTAGCACTGAGTTATTGACGAGATCTTGTTGAAGTACGAATGTGCTTTTCTTGAGTTCTATTTCAGGGAGGGAGGGGGAGCCTATCCAGTTTACCTGCTGATGGATTGCTTATCGGAAAAAAAGTGTTTCATTTCTGCTAAAAACCCTACAATACAGTAATTCAACTACTTTATCTCGGCTGCGACCAAAATTGTAAACTACAGAATAATCATTTAAGGTCATTTTACCATTTGAATGAGAACTGATGCAAAGTGGCGATATCGATCATCATCGTGAGAGAAATTATCGGTTACTAATCATCGGACACCCTGGTCAAGTACCGGGGTCTTTTGAAAGTCCGCCCATCCAAATGTAGTCTCTTTGTCGGATGGGCAGTTATTTGGGGTTAAAGGTTAAAATGCCAGTCTTACAGCTTGTCTCTATTTGGGATGGAAGCTTGACCCTCCCCGTGGGTGCCTATTCGGGTGGGCGGTTATTTGGCTTCAAAAATAGTTTCATGAAATGGAATTTTCCGTTTAACTGCCCTGAATGGAATTTCGGTCTTGAGGCTTTCTCATTCATGCACTTATCCATTCAAGAAACAAACAGCACTTAGTAAAAAAGTGTACCGGGGTTGCTCCGAAAGTTCCTCCATCCGAATAAGCGCCAGTTCTTCTTACGTGAAATATTGAATTTCGGCATTTGTTTCATGAAATGGAAATTTCCGTTTAACCGCCCTGGGGGGACTTTCGCCAAAAAAAACCGCGGTAATTGTGCGTTTGTCATGGAGTTTTGATTTTTGCCACACGAAATGCTCAATAGTGCACAACCTTTTTTCCTATTTCTTTGTTTTATTTTTGCTCAACTGAGGAAAAGTAATTATGTGCTAGCCTTATCCTTTATATCGAGCCATTTTTATGATAATCCCTTGGAGAAACTGTCTATATCAAATGGCAGTCTTTATGATAATAATAATGGCAGGCGTTTTGATTGTTATCATTAGCCCTTTAGTTGACTGCAGTCTTCACAGAGGGGAAGAAATATCAAAGTGTAAAAAGTTTAAGAGGGGGGGGGGAACAGAAGAGTGTATCAAAGGCGAAGGTAGATGAGGTGGAAAAAAGGTGGGGTGAGTACTGTGATGTGGTTGAATATGATATACAGTGGGGTCATGGTAGTTTGAAATCAACTGCCAGGTAATAGACTTTTTTGCCGTATGAGTAAACGTTGCCCAGGGTGCACCACGTGGAGGTAAGTCCTCCACACCCCCCCCCCTTGGAGAACATTGAACACACCTCTTATTCATGTCATAACAGATTTGGACATTTCTTAATGCATAACCATTTCCTTCTTTGAGTTTAATGCTACATAGTGTTCAAGTTAATAATTTCAGCTATTCATATTGTTCGGCATGTTCTGAAGATGATAGTAAATAAAATTTTGGTATAATTATAATTGTAATGGTAATAGTAAAAATAAAAAAAAACAAGCCCATCCGTGTAGGGTTGAAATTTGAGGGGAGAGCCAAGTGGGTGTGCGATAGACTTACCTCCACGTGGTGCACCCTGGAAATATGCCTTCACTATCAACATCTTATTTGGAAGCGGAGGGGTGTGTGCGATAGACTTACCTCCACGTGGTGCACCCTGGACAGCGTGCGATAGACTTACCTCCACGTGGTGCACCCTGGGCAACTTTCAACCCTTGCTGGTTTTCTAAACAATTATTCTTAAGAATACGATAGACTTACCTCCACGTGGTGCACCCTGGACAACGTACTTTCAAATGGCAGGCGTTATGATAGGTATCATGGGGTGTGCAATAGACTTATAAACTTACCTCCACGTGGTGCAGCCTGGGCAACGTATACCCATACGGCCTCCACGTGGTGCACCCTGGCCAACGTATAATCATACGGTCTTACCTCCACGTGGCGCACCCTGGGCAATGTATACTACACCTTACCTCCACGTGGTGCACCTTGGGCAACGTATACTCATGTGACATACCTCCACGTGGTGCACCCTGGGCAACGTATACTCATGTGACAAAAAAGTCTATAAACCGGCAGTTGACTTCTGAGTTCAAGCTATAAAAAAGTCTATTATTCGGCAGTTGACTTCTGACTTCAAATTACCATGACTAAACCGGCAGTTGACTTCTGACTTCAAATTGCCATGACCCTACTGTATGCCATATTCGACTACTTTCACAGTACTCATCTCACCTTTCGTCTTCCTTTGTGTCTGTCTCTTTTACATCATTGAAACACTCTTCTGTTCCTCCCACCTCCCCTCTCGACTTTTATTTCACTTTGATGTTTCTCCTCCCCTCTGTGAAGCCGGGAGTCAACTAAAGGGCTAATGATAGCTATCAGATGCCTGCCATTTGATATAAATAAATAAATAAATTTTAGCCAATCTTAATCACTGAGAGTGTAACAATTAGAATTGAATCCTTGATCTCTGATGTGGCAGAGCAGCACTGGTTCTAATTGGTTTGATAAATCGGCCAATCAGTATTCACTTGAATAAATAAATTTTTGATGCACATTATCAATTATTGACTCTCCTTCCACCTCTTTCTTTAGACACATACCTTCCTACAGCTCTCGTGAAATTCTCCTAGTGATGAGTTCCATGACAACCTGCGATCCGGGCGATATCCATCAAACCATCCAAAGTCTAATCAACAACAAAATTCGCTGCAGTGTAATCTCCCTGGCTGTTGAAGTCTTTGTCCACAAGGCACTCGCCACTGCTACTGGGGGTAAAGTTTACTTGAGCTTCTTTTACCATATATATATATATATTGTAATTGGCTGATATTCGAACACTGTTTTTTGGATGCCTCTTGCACCCCTCAAAACATTTGACCTTGTCTTTTAAATGTGCCGGGAAGAAGTTGACTTTTCATTGGCTCATTGCCTTGTCGTGTCTTCAGAGTTATTTTGGTGATGCATATGAATTTTTTCTGCCTTATCATTGCTATTATTAGTAGTATTTTTAAAATTCACAACAAAGCACAAGGTTTTGCGACTTTTTATTGAGGTGAAGGAACAGAAATTGTCGATGTAAGTCCAGCAAATAATGCGGGAAATTCAAAAGGTATATATTGCGCCAAGTCAAGATGCTAATGAATCTAATCAGAATGGAATTTTGGAATCTAGTTAAACAAGATTGCGCTTTAGGATATTTTAACTTCATCATTCTTTCACTAGCTTGTAATTATTACTATTATTATTATGGTAGAAGCTACCGTTGATCACTCACAGGGACCACTTAAGTGGTTTAGTTCGCTAAATAACATTAATGACTTCATGCACCACTGAGATACTTGGGTCTCAGAGACTAGTGCTAACCAACACGTATTTGTGATATTCATTTTCTTGTCACACTGTGTCCTTAAAATCGCAATATTTATTTATTTATAACAAATGGCAGGCGTTTTGATAGTTATCATTAGCCCTTTAGTTGACTTCGGTATGGCAGGCGTTTTGATAGCTATCATTAGCCCTTTAGTTGGTGGCAGGCGTTTTGATAGATATCATTAGCCATTTAGCTGAGTGCAGGCGTTTTGATAGTTATCATTAGCCCTTTAGTTGACTCCCGGCTTCACAGAGAGGAGGAGGAACATCAAAGTGAGAAGAATTCGGGAAGGAGAGGGAAGGTCCATCAAAGTAGAAGAAAGTCAAGGGGTGGGAAAGGAAAATGAACATCAAAGTGGCAAAAAATCGAGAGGGGTAAACAGAAGAGTGATTCACAGATGTAAAAGAGACAGACAGACTGACACAAAGTCTATCACACACCCCAGGGAGGAACATTAAAGTGAGAAAAATTCGACAGGGGAAATTTCACAGATGTAAAAGAGACAGACAGACAGACACAAAGGTGGAAAAAAAGGTAAGATGAGTACTGTGGTATGTGTCGAATATGGCATACAGGGGGGGTGATGGTAGTTTGAAGTGCGAAGTCAACCTCCGGTTAATAGACTTTTTGCCGTATGAGTATACGTTGCC